AATTTTTGTTGAATCATTTTCTCTATTTGTTCCTATGGATTCTTTGATTTGTGATATAAAAAAGTTAGAGTTAGAGATAATGAGATTTGTGGACACAAATTTAGGTACATTATTCCAAATAATTTTTTAGCCTACTCTATAGGAGATGATTCAAAAAGCTCAAAAGTCAGATATATAATATCCGATGTTGATTAATTAGATCAAATATAGTAAGAAACATGAACTTCGAGTATCTAATTCTAGTGTTATATTCTATAAGAATAGTTTATAGGTTCTTACTATTGAGTATCTGAAGATTAAGATTATACACGAGGCATATTATTTAGGCTATACAATTCATCAAGAAAGAAATAAGTTTTATGATGATATGAAAGGTAGTGGCCTAAATTAAAGAAAGACATAGAGGATTTAATTTCAAAATGTGTTAATTAGTGAAAGCAGAATATTAGGAACAAGTTGATTTTCTACAGTCATTGTTTATTTGAGTGTAGAATTAGGAAGATATAACAATAAATTTCATTAGAGGGTTTTCAAGGTCTGGGCAAGGCCATGATGTTATCTAGGTCGTGGTAGATTGTATAATAAAGTATGCACATTTCATTTTGATCAAATAGACTGATTTTGTAAATAGCCTGGTTCAGATCTATGTACGAGACATTATTCAGCTGTATGGTATTCCAAAGGTTATCATCTTCGATCGTGATAGTAGGTTTACCTCTAGATTATAGAGAGGCATTCAATAGGGTTTAAGTATGAGATTGCAATTCAGTATAGCTTTTCATCCCCAAACTGATGGACGATCTAACATGACTATTTAAATAATGAAGGATCTTATGAGATTATGTGTTCTAGATTTTGGCAGGAGCTGGGAAGATTACATTTCTCTGATTGAGTTTTCTTATAATAATAGCTTTTAGTCAAGTATGTATGTGACAACTTATGAGACTCTTTATGGTAGAAAATTTATGACATCTTTGTCTTATATAGAGGTGGGAGAAAGGCAATTGTTAGGGTTAGCTTTGATGAATGATGTTATAACAAAGATTCTTCTGATCTGAGAAAGATTGACAACTATACATTATAGGAAGAAAAAAGTATTGTGACTCGAAGTACCATTTAGTATATTTTGTGGTAGGTGATTTTATGTATATAAGGTTAGCAAATGAATTATGTCAGCAAATTTTGAAGAATCAGTAAGCTAAGTCCAAAGTATATTGGACCTTTTGAGGTTATTGAAAGGATTGATAGTTATGCTTACAGACTAGTATTGACTGACCACATGCTTAACATACACAATTTATTTCACGTGTCTTCTTTAAGGAAGTGGATATATGATTCTAGAGTATATTATATACCAATGATGTTGAGGTATGTCTAGATTTGAGCTATAAAGAAAAACCAAATAGGATTTCAATATATGTTAATATTTTAAGAATAAATAAATCTTAATGGTCAAAGTGCAGTGGAAATATATGTCTAAAAGAAAAGCCACTTAGGAGAAGGAATTTAAGATGAGGTAAGTATATCCTTATATGTTCCATTAATTTGAATTCTAAAATATCAAGGATGCATTTTTTTAAGGAGCAAAATATTATAACACCCACTGAATCAAGATATAGATGCACCTATTTTGACACGATTTTAAAAAGAAAATTATTGAATTTGTACATTAATATCCATCTGCATGTGTTTCAAAATTTTTTGTATGCATATGAATATCTAAATCAACTTTGATATGGATATTGAGGGTATGTTTGGATGTCCTGAAAATATAGATTTTGTCCCCCTAGGGTGCCATGACATTGGGGTAGGCAACATTATGACGCTAAGCTCTACATCCTTTTGCAAATTATTTCAACATGATGGAGTTTGGGGTTATATTATGATGTTATGGATTCCTAAAGGGAGCACTGTAGCATGTGCAATAGAGCGTTGCACGTTCCACAAAATTTTAATAATAAAAATATATTTTCCACTATACAAATCCATTCACCCAATCACAACATATAATTAAAGGAGGATTTTTAGAGAGAGTATATTTTGAGTCACTTCGTGTCATTTTTTATTGACGATCCAGTTTTGAATGTTTTTCAGCTTAAGGTAGCTTGCATTTTACCAATAACAATTTTTAATAATTTGATTATTTTGAAAATTTTATGATTAAAAATATAAATTTCTAGTGTTTGAACTGAGATAACTTTTAAACTGGGAAACTTTCATCGTGTAACTTTTAGTATATTGTAGAGAATATAGTTCAAAACATTTAAATATTTTTCTATAAAATTTTCATAAGGTATTTTTGAAATGCAACTTTTCTAAAGCTATTAAAAATATTTTAGGCCCTGAAAATAGTATTGTAGAACAGTTAAACCTATGAAATGTAGTTCTACACAATCTCTCATAATTTTGTAGAATTCTGAGTTAGTAAATTTTAGCTACACTATATTGGGTTCGATTGCTAAAATATTGCCTGTGGGCAAATGTTTGAAGTTATGTAAATAGTTCCATTTATGCTTAGCTATACATTTGTGCATCTCTATACAAATCTAAGGAGTTTGGGGGGGAGGTTTGTTTAGAGTTAGGTTATATATATCTGTGGAGTTCTGTTGCATAAATTTTGAATGTGCTGAGAGCAGTTGAAGGCCAGAGGGCCAAGAGTTCTAAATGAAGGCATAAGAGTCTGGATTTTTGAATGAGAGACATAAGGGCTAAAATTTTGTTACTTTTTGCTCTGAACTATGTGTTAATTTATATTTTATTCTGCATATTGTGCAATGAATTATGTAACCTACTCAGTTATATGCAAAACCCTACACTATTCTAAAACCACTCTACTATAGTTTGTGATTAAGATTAGAATAATTGCTTTATTTTATGTTATTGATTTTCCAATTATTAAGAAATAATTTGGGTAGTATAATCTGCTGAGCTATATTAGCGCATTATGTATTATGCATTCCATTTTCAAGTTAGTGCAAGGGTAAAGAGTTAGTTGAGTATATAAGGCTAATTTTCTTTGTTTGGCTGGTTTGTTTGTACACTTTTTTTTTTATTAGTCCTAGTATTTCTATAATTCCTACTCCATCTCTATATGTTTTTAGGGGCTATTAAATCAAGAATCTGTACTGTGTGTACTTTTGTAGAAAAAAATAAAAGAAAGAAATTGTTATGGATGAGTAAATTTATTTATAATGGAAAAAAATTAGAAGCTTTAGTGTTTGTTATCCAAAAAAAAAAAAGTTTCTCCAAATAAAATATCTTGGCATGTTCTGTCACCATCCAACAAGATATAACCTGTATTTTGTGGGTTATATAGGGTGGGGTTGGGTTGTGACATAAATATTTTTTATACTATCGTGCATTGATTGTAGTTGTAGGTTATGGTAATATACTAATTGATTGTAGTTGTAGGTTATGGTAATATACAAAGTTGTTAGCTCACTATGTTATTTTCACAAATTTTTTAGGAAGGGGTCAAGATCTAGTGGAATGATACATATCTGGATTAAGATTTTGTTTTGTTTTGTTTTTTTTTTTAATTTGTAGTTTTACTTATTTATGGTGAGGAGCATAGAGAGATAGACTAATGTAATGATTAATCTCCTGACTATTGTAAATTAAATTTTCATGAATAAATATAGAAATATTTTTATGTATATGATTTATAGCTTCTTTCAATAAATTTATTTATTTAACAAATTATTAGAAAATTAAGCAGAATAATTAAGAGATGAAATAAACAATTCTTCTAAATTTAGATCTTAGGGAATCACAAGTCTTAACTCAAATAATCACACCCTTAAATTCCTCAACACCCAATGAAAACTAAGTCATTGGAATGCCAATTCATTCAAGTTTCTTTAAGATTTTTCCTTTTGCCCTCAAACATAAATCGAAAATTGAAAATAAAATTGTAGATTCTTATCTAGGGTAGCTTTGACTATTTCTTCACTAGAACTCAAAATCTCTTGATTTGAACGACTTCAAGATAAGTACGTAGTTTATCCCAACTTTCATCTAATTTACATAGAGCACTTAGATGAACCTTTGACACTACAAGGAATAGTATTTGTGCTCAATGGATATCTACGTAGAGGAAAATAATTTTGTATTCCTATAACTTCATTTAGATGATTTTTTATTTCAAAATTGCATTCTAGAAGAATAATTGATCATTTTGAAAAAGATAACATTATATGTTTGATAGAGGCAGATTTATCTAGCCTTAATTAAAAGAAAATATTTAAAATTAGCAGCACAATGCTTAACTTGCAATCAAAGCTACGAGTAGAAGTCTGAACAATACATTGTATTGCCTATTCTTTATAGGTCTTATAAAAAATTGTTAATGAATTTTATTTTGGGATTGCCTCAAACTACTTAAGGTCATGATAACATTTTTGTATAATTAGATTGATTATAAAAAATAGGGCATTTATTTATCTTGCTCTTAAGCTAATGGTTCTTCTCACATGATTAAGTTGTTTGTTAATGAAGTAGCGCATCTTACCTTCAACCATCACATGATCATCATAATGATTAGGGTTATTTGGTTGGCTGAAAAGGAATACAGTGTAAAATGAATACTTTGGAGTTATTTGCATGAATGTAAAATAAATATAGGTGAATGACTTTTTTATTTAGTTAGAAGTAATTAATATAGAGTAAAATCCTAATTGGTGACGTCCAGCTGTGAACAGACAACAATTCTAAGTGGCGAGCGATTGACGGCAGCAACAAACAGAGATGGCCTGTGACAAATAGTGGTCAAGTATGCGTGTGGTGTAAACGTTTTCAATCCAAATCCGAGGAATTTGATTTACTCTCAAAATGTTCTACTTCACTTTATATTATATTTATTATATTTTACTTTGCATGATTTTGTATTCCAACAAAATACCAAAGTTTATAAAAGAATACTCTACCCCCTAAAATAATCTAACGAAATGGCTCCTAAACCTAATTCGTGGAATGTAAATCCCCTAAAAAGAATTCAAGCTTACAACTGTGCTTCGACATTGAAACGTTCCTCTGAGGAGCCTAAGTGCATGTTTTCCCTGTTTTCAGTTCTTCCTCAGCCGTCCGATCCATGCAGCCCACCGCATACCACCGTATGGTAGCCGTAGATTTTCTGTAGCTGACTTGCATCGAAGAGGAAGAGGCCCCCTCGGAGTAACATTCCTCCATCGCACACCTCTTCGCACTCCCCTTCTTCCCTTCCCTCCCTTTTCCCTCCTTTCAAACCCTAGACCTCCAATCTTCAATGCCCTAGGAAACCATTCCCTTTAATTCTACTGCCGTTTCTTCTCCTGGTTTTTGGGTTATTTTCTGTGTTCATAAATCCCTAGCTCGTCAAATCGGTCTTGCTCGCACATCCTGCCCGTGCCCTAATTGCCCCGTCAACTTCCACATCACTTCGAATTCTTCGCAGTGGTTTGATACTAGCGCTAGTTATTCGGAACTGTGGGGAAATTTAAAAAGAACCGTCCGTTACTTATTTTTCCCCCCCTGAGCTAGGGCATCAGTGCTCCTTTATCTTGTTCTCCCTAGCCCTTCCTTGAATTGTGTCTACGGTTCTCGTCTGTGAAGTTTTAAGCTTCCGGTGTTCAGTCCGGGCTGTGCTGAGTCTATTTTGGGGACTTAAAAGCCCTGCTTTTCTCTGTAGCTGAGTGAAGGGGTGGCTTTGCTTGTGGATTAGTTTGAGCTTCCAGTTGGTTTCACTTGTGTCGATTGAGATATTTGGATGGAGTAACCGGATTTGGATGTTGAGCTTGAGCGTTTGCGCTTGCATGGGTGGGGCATGAGCAGATATGAGTAGGTTGTCATTCAGGCCACGCCCTCTTGACATTCATAAGAAACTTCCTATTATTAAGTCTGTGAAGGATTTTGACGATGATGACGTGCCAACTGCTGCTGCTGCCACCCGGAACTCACAACTACTACGAATTGCAGCCGAGACAGACAATGAGGTAACACTGTTATGACAATGAGGTAACACTGTTATGCACGTGTTTGATTTAGTTATTTTAGTTCTTTATTGTTGCAATTTAGGACACATTGGTCTTCTTCTTTATTTTTTTTTGGGTGCTGGATTAACTTTTTATAGGATAATAATTTTTTGTTTGCCGCTTTGCATGAAAGTTTTAAGTAGCAGTTTGAAGTGCTTGTGTTGGATAATGACAAACTTGAATTTGTCATGTTTGTTTATGGGAAGGCTTGCGATAAGAATCGTACCTGCATTCTTAGAAAACTTATGGCATTGTCATGGAATTTAACCTAATTCTTTATCTCATATCTCAATGTAGTTTAAAAGAACTTTGGTGGTGTTGCCCTTTTAGATGATACATGAGATAGCTAAAATCATTATTTGGAACAAAAGCTTTGAATTGTGGTGCTTGGGATAGTTGGCATTCCTTCATGAATTCTAATCATATTGGATGAAGAAAAAAAATGCACTTGGATCTCATTTCAGTAGCACTGAAGTAATGAATATTTTATCATTAAGAGACCTTCGATATCTTGAAACTAAACCCCTACTTAGAGAGTTGATAGTGGAGTGGTTCTAGTGGATAGCACATTAAGTTTAGTTGTGCAATTTTAGAAATTTCGATAAAATTCTCCCCCAAACTTCCAAAACCCTATACCAAATAGCTTGAAGTGAAGTGGTTAAAAACAAAGTTAGGATAAGGTAAGCTTGTAATCATGACCAAATCACTATGAAATATAAAAATAAACAATAGAGGTACTTCTAAAAGTTGATAAATTGTTGATATTTACATTGATTGTTATTTTAGAGGCATAGCAGCTTTGATTGGAAATTTTTTTTGATTGGTGTACTCATTTCTTGGCAATATGTGCATGCTTCATCTCCTTTGTCACTTTTCAGTTAGAAATTGGGAAATACCTGTGATTTGTCATGCATTGGATCCAATTGCTATACCTTAATACTCCTAAAAAGGGTATCCCAATCGAATGTACTGAAATTAAAGTTTAATTTTGCTAATATCATTAACTGATAATGCTATTTTAGTTTTTCATGATTTCTACTTTGGTTGAACCTTTCTTGCTGCTTCGGTTTTGTCATATGCTTTAGAGAAACGACCATGGGCCTCCTTTTTCTTTTATGCAGACAGATTCCGTTCATATGTGATAACAACAGTTTTGATTTTGTGCCTGTATAACAATTTCACTTTGCATTTCAATTTATTTTTGAATACTCAGGCCATGGGCCTCCTTTTTGGTACTTCATTTATTTATTCATGGTATCTTGAAAGGCATTTATAAACCAGAACAAAACAAATTCCTTCAACTGCTTTGAAAAACTTGGAATATGTTTCTCATAATATATTTTAGTAGAATTATATACTTTGTGAAGCATAGTACATTAATCCTTCTTGTAGTATATCTAATTTAATTTTTTATTGGTAATGATTGACCTAATACTGATGATCTTTTACAGGCACATCACATCACTGTCAAAAAAGTTTCATCCGAAATCCCCACGCCTCAATATAATATTGTGGAAACATATGAAAGGGATTATTCCAGAACTTTCAGCCAACCTTCATCTTACTTACGTGGAAGAGGAGGTTTGCTCCTACTGCCGTTGTATTCTGGTTCCCCTAGCCCCACTATAGAACATACTGTTAAATTTATTTGAAAATTTGTTCTTCTTTGCAGCCAGAGCAGAGATTAGTGAATTTGTAGAGTATGATCTTGACAATGAGGATGAGGACTGGCTTCAAAATCTCAATAATGAGAGGAGAATTCTCCCACCTGAAAAGTAAATTGCTGTTCTTTCTCTATTGACGCCTTATTTTTGAATTCAAACTTCAAGTTCTTTGCTTTTTCACCTGATACTTGCTTAACATACAAAGACACTTCATCGTGATACAAGAATGCATTTCATGTTGTCATTTGCAACAGATCTTTTCATGACCTATTTTGATTGTGTGAATGGTATTTGAACTATTTTATGCAAGTCTTTCAAAGGTTTATTGAATGGAATTTTGTGTTGATGAGCATGTTTGGAAGGTATCGTAAATTAGTATTGATGTAGGACTACGTGTATAGGCAAATGCTGTGGATCAGAAAGTTACACATGCATAGACAGAGCTATGAAATTTATCAATTTCTTATGTTCTTAGCAAAGATTTAAGCCAACAAGATGGTGATTAAGATCAAGTAATCAATTACATAATAATGTTAGGAATACAAAATAATCAAATCAAATCATACTATGCTAATGTACGGTTTTCAAAGAGAATTCCTAACTTAACAATTAGAATAGTCACCCTGAAAGATCCACGCACTCACACTCTTAATGCGGTTTAAGTGGATAAGTCTTCATAATTACACGATGCCCTAATTGAGGAAGAGTTGAAGATATCGAGTTAGGGAAAGAGTTTACCGTTCTCTTGTTCTTGATATTTGTTTTGTTATTTCTCAAATTGGTTGTCGAGTTGTTGGGATTTCTCCTTGCACCGAACAAGTCTTGATGATAGGTCAGGCGTCGTGATGGAGGTAAGGGATGGGATGTAGCTAGCCAAAGGAGGAGGGCTCCCATCTTCCTTCCTCAAGAGAAATAATAAGTTAGGGCGAACATTTTAGGAGGAAGGAGTGGGGATATGGCTAGCCATCCAAAGGAGGGAAGAAGCATGACATGTAATTTCAGACTTTGTGGATATAAGGTAGTGGAGGCAACAATTAGGAAATCTAGAATTAACTTCAGCAATTAACAAAATCTGGAATTAATTTGGGTAGGAATTGATTGGGGGAGAATTAATTGGAAGGAGAAAAAAAGGAGAAAGAGGGGAGAGAGAGGGGTGGCGGCTAGGGTGATTAGGGTAGTTGATTTAGGGAATTGAGAGGCTTGCCAAACATAGAATATTGTTTAAGGAAGGAGGGATTATGGCAAATACCTACTTAATTTAAATTGGCATGAAATTTTTTTTTTTTGGGGGGGACTTTCCTAAGATACTTCATCTTATTTTAGGAAAGGAATTTCAAATTCAAATAAATTAAAATATGAATTTAAAAACTTTCTAATTTAAGATGCGTGAAATATGGAAATGATCAATTTCTTGATTTGAAAAGGGGGGGGGGGACTTTCTTAAGATATTTCATCTTATTTTAGGAAAGGAATTTTAATTTCAAATAAATTAAAATCTGAATTTAAAACCTTCTTAATTTAAGATGCATCAAATATTGAAAGGATCAATTTCTCGATTGAAAATTTTGGAGGCGAGGGAAAGGGGTGGTGGCTTGCGGCTAGGAGGGGAAGGGAGGCGGTGGTGGGAGTAGGGGAATCGCTAAAGAGGGTGGGGAAAATGTGGCCGTCGGCTTTAGGGAGGGAAGGAAAAGGGGGGGGGGGAGGTCGGGTAGGGAAAGTAGGGGGCCAACAGCTAAGGAAGAAAGCAAAGCAAATTTGAGTTGGAGATGAACCACGAGCCTGCACGTTTCATGCGGTTGATGGTTAGTGCTTTGCCCTCACCACAGGACTTCAGATTCTCACAACTCTCCAAGAAAACAAAGTGCAGAATTTTTCTTTTCATTATATTCATCATCCTCTCCAAAGAGGGGCAGGGTCTATAAATAGCCAAAATACAATAGAATGTCTAATGACAAAAGTGCCCCCTGGGGTCACATAAGCCTACTCCCTCATTCCTACTCCCTCAAATGAGGGTAAAAACGGAAACGATACATAAATAAATCAAATACAAATAAAATCTTTGAAATAAAGTGGTCCAATTATGGCCGTAGATCTTCGGCCCCTTCTCTGATATTTCCACGGTCGGATGTCCCCATGAAGTATTTAATTTCTTTTACATGCCCGTCTTTATGACTAGTTATTTCTAGCTATCTTGTTCAAAACTTGTTTGCTTGAGAATTTTGTCCTTCCTTTTTTTACATACATGATTTAATATCCATTCAATTTATATTGGCGAACAACAGGTTAAATTCGAGTAAGCTTGCCTTGAAAAAAATTTTTTTTTCCGGTGGGGGGGATGGGAGGGGGTTGAGTCAAAATTAAGCAAATTTTGATTTCTAGTCCACTTGAGCAAATTTTTGTGTCAAAATGATGCATATTACAAATTTTTGTGTCAAAATGATGCATATTACAAATTTTTGTGTCAAAATGATGCATATTACAAATTTTGTATACATTCATACATACAATAAAATAGGGATTCCTTCATTCTCATTTCTAATGTTTTTGGACAAGTAGCCCCATCTACTCTGTCCCTTTCTCCCCCTTAATGTACATATTCCAAAGGATGTCAAACTCTAAGGCATGGGTTCGAAGTCAGCACCGCCACTTTCTCATTGTCCTCTCAAGTAGTCTATTGTAAATCCCACTACCCTTAATTTCTCCATCGAAGGGCTAAATCCTTGCCTTAGATAATTCCTGTTAGTTCCGTAAGCTGTTCACACCTGATTCCTCTTCAAATGTGCATGCACAGACATGCATTATACTTATCCCAAAGATCAAGTACTGTATTTTTCAGTTTCAGATGTTGGTTTTTTTATGACGCCTTAAGTAGTTTTTGTTTTTCTTGTCTGGAACAGAGCTTACGATGGTGAGATCACAGATGGCTTAGCTTAATATCTAGAATGATGTCTTTCAAGATTTAGAGGTATTCTATGTTTTAGTTTTGAAGAAAAGTCTGGCCTAATTAAGTAAGCAAATTTTGATTCCTTGATGCGAGTAAAAATTTTGGAAGGGCCCCAAATTTTTGCATGCAAATAGTTAACCTTCCTAGATAAAAGAAAGACACAAATATACCCAAAAGGATACAAATTACAACAAATAAACCAAAACAACTCACTTTTATAAAATAAAACGACACCTTACAAACGACGCTTACAACGATTCAAACAAACTTATATAATAAAAACCTAAACTTGCATTTCCATTGCTTTGAGAAGAAGGATATAGGTGGGGTGGTCACTTGCGTAGAGAAGAAGAGGTTAGAAGCCAAGACGAAGGAGGAGGACAAGCTCTCAAGTTTTCCTAGGAGGAGGAAGAAGAGAAGTTGGACAAAGCTCGCAAGCTTTTCCAAACAACAAACCCGTAGGTTTTGGCTTCCAAAAATTGCATCATCACATCCTCTTTTCTAACATAAAACACCACATATTTATATGCTAAAAGGGGCAGCTAAACAGCCACCTAAAACTACTAATTAATCCTATTAAAAGAGTGAACTAGAAGGTCAAAAGACACATAACAGCCAGCAGAATTTCTGCACAGAAAACAGGGAGGCAAGCTACGGAAAACCCAACCAGCAGCTATGGGAAGCCCAGCCAGCCAGGGACCCGAAGAGCCAGCACAGGAAACAGAGCATCATTTCACGTGAAAAACATCCAGGAGCGGAAAATCGAGAGGGAGGACCACGGGAACAGTAATAGACAACAGAAACCGAAAGTCAAAGGGAAGGGAAGGCTTTATGAGCTGATTTCTACACCAATTAATGAACTAAACATCAGCTCATAATGAGCTAACCAACAATTCAAAATTTAATGAGCTAGAACCAAATTAATAGGCTCAAAACTATAGCAGCCAAAGCCTACCCGAGAGCAGCAAAAGACCCCAAACCAAGAGTAGCAAAGGCTCCAAACAGAGAGCAGCCAAGGCCAAAATTTTGGATTTGTTTTGACCCCCCCTTTGCCTACATCAAATTCTCCCTCACTTAAAAAGCTCATTCCTGATGAGGAAGCTTTCGATTTTTCCCGAGGAGACAAAGTAGACGCTTCAAGCTCTTGAATTTTATCTGCGTACCTTTTAAATACCTCGTCTCGATCTCGCTTGAATTGTTCCGTAAAAGTTGTTTCTTTTTCATGTACCGCTCCGTACACAAATGCATCTTCACTTGGAGCTTGTATAGCTCATTCTGCAGGGGATCTGTCGAATCACCTTCTGTTGGAACCCATCTGTCCATTGAAAGAGGGACTTCAAGATCTTTTGGATTGCTTTCTTCTATGACTAAATCAATCTTTTTGTGATTTTTCATTTTTCTAAAAAAGACTCAACAAAACTTAAATCACTTGATATAAGACTCACACAACAAACCGGGATTTGCTAACCCGCTCTGATACCAATTTGATGCGAACAAAAATTTGGGAAGGGCCCCAAATTTTTGCAAGCAAATAGTTAACCTTCCTAGATAAAAGAAAGATACAAATATACCCAAAAGGATACAAATTACAACAAATAAATCAAAACAACTCTTTTTTATAAAATAAAATGACACCTTACAAACGACGCTTACAAACGACTCAAACAAACTTATATAATAAAAACCTAAACTTGCACTTCCATTGCTTTGAGAAAAAAGATATAGGTGGGGTGATCACTTGCGTAGAGAAGAAGAGGTTAGAAGCTAAGACGAAGGAGGACAAGCTCGCAAGCTTTCCTAGGAGGAGGAAGAAGAGAAATTGGACAAAGCTCGCAAGCTTTTCCAAATAACAAACCCGCAGGTTTTGGCTTCCAAAAATTGCATCATCACATCCTCTTTTCTAACATAAAACACCACATATTTATTTATAGGCTAAAAGGGGCAGCTAAACAGCCACCTAAAACTACTAATTAATCCTATTAAAAGAAGAAACTTGAAGGTCAAAAGACACATAACAGCCAACAGAATTTCCGCACAAAAACAGGGAGACAAGCCACGGAAAACCCAACCAGCAGCCACGGGAAGCCCAGCGAGCAAGGGACCCGAAGAGCCAACACAGGAAACAGAGCATCATTTCACGGGAAAAATAGCCAGGAGGGGAAAACCGAGAGGGAGGACCACGGGAACAGCAACAGACAGCAGAAACCGAAAAGACAAAGGGAAGGGAAGGGTTTATGAGCTAATTTCTACGTCAATTAATGAACTAAACATCAGCTCATAATGAGTTAACCAACAACTCAAAATTTAATGAGCTAGCACCAAGTTAATAGGCTCGAAACTATAGCAGCCAAAGCCTACTCGAGAGCAGCAAAAGGCCCCAAACCAAGAGCAGCAAAGGCTCCAAACAGAGAGCAGCCAAGGTCAAAATTTAGGATTTGTTTTGACCCCCCCTTTGCCTACATCAAATTCTCCCCCACTTAAAAAAGCTCATCTCCTGATGAGAAAGCTTTCGATTTTTCCCGAGGAGACAAATTAGGCGCTTCAAGCTCTTGAATTTTATCTGCGTACCTTTTGAATACCTCGTCTCGCTCTCACTTGAATTGTTATTGTAAAAGTTGTTTCTTTTTCATGTACCGCTCTGTATACAAATGCATCTTCACTTGAAGCTTGTATAGCTCATTCTGCAGGGGATCTGTCGATTCACCTTCTGTTGGAACCCATCTGTCCATTAGAAGAGGGACTTTAAGATCTTATGGATTTCTTTCTTCTATGACTGAATCAATCTTTTTGTGATTTTCCATTTTTCTAAAAAAGACTCAACAAAACTTAAATCACTTGACAACAAGACTCACACAACAAACTGGGATTTGCTAACCCGCTCTGATACCAATTTGATGCGAACAAAAATTTGGGAAGGGCCCTAAATTTTTGCAAGCAAATAGTTAACCTTCCTAGATAAAAGAAAGACACAAATATACCCAAAAGGCTACAAATTACAACAAATAAACCAAAACAATTCACTTTTATAAAATAAAACAACACCTTACAAACGATGCTTACAAACGACTCAAACAAATTTATATAATAAAAACCTAAACTTGCATTTCCATTGCTTTGAGAAGAAGGATACAAGTGGGGTGGTCACTTGCTTAGAGAAGAAGAGGTTAGAAGCCAAGACGAAGGAGGACAAGCTCGCAAGCTTTCCTAGGAGGAGGAAGAAGCGAAGTTGGACAAAGCTTGCAAGCTTTTCCAAACAACAAAACCGCAGGTTTTGACTTCCAAAAATTGCATCATCACATCCTCTTTTCTAATATAAAACACCACATATTTATAGGCTAAAAGGGGCAGCTAAAATGCCACCTAAAACTACTAATTAATCCTATTAAAAGAGGGAACTAGAAGGTCAAAAGACACATAACAGCCAGCAGAATTTCTGCACAGAAAACAGGGAGACTAGCCACGGAAAAACCAACCAGCAGCCACGGGAAGCCCAGCCAGCAAGGGACCCGAAGAGCCAACACTGGAAACAGAGCATCATTTCACGGGAAAAACAGCCAGGAGGGGAAAATCGAGAGGGAGGACCCACGGGAATAGCAACAGACAGCAGAAACTGAAAAGAAAAAGGGAAGGGAAGGCTTTATGAGCTGATTTCTACACCAATTAATGAACTAAACATCAGCTCATAATGAGTTAACCAACAACTCAAAATTTAATGAGCTAGCAACAAGTTAATAGGCTCAAAACTATAGCAGCCAAAGCCTACCCGAGAGCAGCAAAAGGCCCCAAACCAAGAGCAGCAAAGGCTCCAAATAGAGAGCAGCCAAGGCCAAAATTTAGGATTTGTTTTGACCCCGCCTTTGCCTACATCATTTCTAGTCCACTCGAGCAAATTTTTGAGTCAACATGATGCATATTACAATTCATACAAAAAATCAGAGATTCCTTCTCATTTCTTGTGTTTTTTGACAAGTAGCCCCATGGACTCTTTCCCTTTATTCCCCTTAATGCACAGATTCCACAGGATGTCAATCCCTAAGGCATGGGTTCCTGCTACCTTCTCATTGTCCTCTCAAGTAGTCTATGGTAAATCCCACTACCCTTAATTTCTCCATAGGAGACCTAAATCTTTGCCTTAGATAATTCCTGTTAGTTCCGTAAGCCTTTCATACCTGATTCCGCTTCAAATGTGCATGCACAGACATGCCTTATGCTTATCCCAAAGATCCGGTACTGTATTTTTCTGTTTCAGATGTTGGTTTTCTTATGAAGCCTTAAGTAGTTTTTATTTTTATTTTTATTTTCTAGTCTGGAACAGAACTTACGATGGTGAGATCTCAGACGACTTAGCTTAATATCTAGAATGAATGTCTTTCAAGAATTAGAGGTATTCTATATTTTAGTTTTGAAGAAAAGTCTGGTCTATTTAACATACTTATCACTATGCCAGTCTTATTCCATAGTATGCCACCATCTAACCATCAAGTAATGAGGAGCATGGTAAAGTTTCTTATGTTTTCAAAGCTATAAAATCATCTTTTGGCGAAACTTCTTACTTTTGTTGGTAAGGATTAATTAGTTTTTTAAGCCTTTGTGATTTCATGCATTTTTCTCTCATTTGATAGAACCATACAATCTATTTTATGATCCATATTTGCTTGCTGTTTGTCAAATGCTTTTGTGCAATCTTGTGCCGCAAATTTGTGTGATGACGTTGGTGCGACATGGCTAATGAAAATTGTTCAGTAGCAGCGTGCAAATTCTTATGTGATATCTGCTTCGTTAATTTTCAGTATGCTCCTAGATAAAGCTGATCATTAATCTTGTTTGAATCCCATATATTGATTACATAACCCTTTTATTTTGCTGAACTAAATGTCAGCGGTGGAAACCTGCTTCTTAATCATTCAGTACATTTTAGTGGAAATCTGATTACCACCATGCTAATGTTAATTTTCGTTATCATTTTCCCACTCATCCATGTGTTAAATGCAGATTTGAGAGTTTACTTTTCAAGCTGGAGGTTCTGGATCATAAAATTCGAGAGAGATCAGGAGGACTGCAACCTACTTTCACAGATCCTGTTCCGGTTTTTCTGCAGCTTGATGCTGCAGCTGAGGTGATACTTTTTTTTTCTTTGTTGAATGAGGACAGTTGCTTCATTTTGTTAAATGTCATGGGCTAAAGCTACTACTGATAATACTGTTCTTATTGCATGTTATGAAAGAGATGACTTTGTAATTTTCAAACCTTTTTTTGTGGAATTTAGGTAGTGTATGGACAGGTAATACTTCAGAAGCAGGAATTAAATGCTCTAATTTGAACTGCTACTATTTCTTTTTTATAAAATGTATATTTTAATAAATAAAATGGTTTCCTGTTTAGATTTTTTTTCCCCATATGATGCCTTTTGGCATGGCTTGCATGTTCCCTTGGACTGTTACTTCAAAATATCCATAATAGAGAACCTCTATGATCAATTGATTATAGAGTCCCTATTTTAACAGGTTCCCTTGGAAAATTTTTCTAGAAATAAAGGTAAAAAACAAATTGTTATTCCTTCTAAGCATTTGGAAGTTGCCTGAGCATTCCAGAGAAAATTTATCTGCATCCTTCGGAAAAAGCTTGAGTTAATCTCTCAGATGGAGTTCAATTAGCGATTTCAACAAGTTGGTTATTTTGTCAATTTGCCAACTCCGTTGTTGGGCTTGATGATATTCCAATAGAGGTGTGAAAATGCTTAGGAGATGAAGGAATTTGTTGGCTTACTAAACTTTTTAATATTATTTTGAAAGCTAATAAAATGCTAGATGAGTAGAGAATGAGTGTGTCGATTCATATTTTTAAGAATAAAGGTGATGCACAAGATTGTGTGAATTATAGAAGAATTAAGTTAATGTGTCATACTTTAAAATCATGGGAGAGAGTTATGGAGTATAGGTTGCGACGTGATACTAATATTTCTTAAAATAAATATGGATTCTTGCTGGGTAGTTCTACTATGGAAGCTATACATTTATTGAGATGTTTGATGGAGAAGAGTAGAGAGAATAAGGAGGATCTACATATGATATTTATTGATTTAAAGAAAGCATATGATAAAGTTCCAAGAGAAATGTTGTTGAGAGTTATAGAAAAGAAAGAGGTTAATAATGTTTATATTAAAGTCATTATGCAGGAGCTGGTACTTGTGTTCAAACACAATGTGGTTTGACCAAGTATTTTCCTATTTCAGTTGGATTACATCAAGGATCAGCCTTAAGCCCATATCTTTTTGCTTTAGTCATGGATGTTCTCGCTAGACATTTGCAAGAGGTTGTACCTTGGTGTAGGCTTTTTGCTAATGATATTCTTCTTGTTGATAAGACTTGAGAGGGAGTTGAAGGCAAACATGAATTATGGAGGTCAGTCTAAATGCTTTTATTTGAGTAGATCTCAAACTGAATATATGGAGTGTAATTTAAGTAATAATAAATCTAGTGTGGGGATTGTGACTTTAGGTGATCAAGTCATTAGTTAGAATACATGTTTTCGATATCTTGGGTCTATGGTTTAGAGTGATGGTTAAATAGATGGGGATTCTATTAGTATAATTCAAGTGTGATGTTTGAAGTGGAGGAATGCATGGGGCTTGTTGTGTGATAGAAAAGTACCCCTCAAACTTAAGGGGAAATTCTTCAAGATGGTGATTAGACCTGCAATGCTTTATGATGCAAAATGTTGGCCATTAAAAGAGAAACATAATATTACGTTAAGTGTTGCTTATATGAGGATGCTTAGGTGGATGAGTGGCTTTACTCTTAGAGACAAGATATGAAATGAGCATATACGTGAAAAGCTTGGAGTAGCTCCAGTGGAAGATAAGATTAGAGTGTCATCTCAGATGGTTTGGTCACATAAAATGACGGCCTTCCGATGACCCAGTTAGGAAAGTAGATGCATTATATTTGACGTACGTTAAGAAAGGTAGAGGTCGACCTAAAAAGACTTGGCTAGAAAATATTACAAATGACTTTTTTTTGTTTGATTTAAATGAGAATTTAACTCTTAACATGACATAATGGAGAAAAAATGATTCATGTAGCTGACCCCAAATAGTGGGATAAAGGCTTGATGTTGTTGTTGTTGTTGCCAACTCATTTCAATATTTTAATCTTAATCCAACATCTAAGACATTTAACATTAGTATATTCGGTTGATTTGTGTCCTTTAGCTCGCAGGAGTGTTTTTGTGGTGGCATTGACTTGGTTTTGATGGAGTTTGTCTTGAATTGAAACATAAACTTAGATGTTTGCTTAAGTTGAGCTTGTATCAAATTTATTTTGACTTAAACTAAGCTCAAAATCATTCAATTACAAGTTGGCTTGAAGTTGTTCTTCATTTAATTTTTTATCAATTTTGTGTTTAGATAGAAATTGTAATTGAAACTTTGTTTCTTAAATACATGTTTATGGTTGCAAGATCATAGTCTACTATGAGATTAAGTATAGCCTCGCATATCACAATTTTAACTCCTTTTCATGCTCATTCATTAATCCTCTCACAAGCTATCATACTTAGTCGTGCATGTTTAATGTATGTCCATAATTTAGAATATGTTTTAGATTAATTTTATTTAAGTAATATGGACATTTTTCCCTAGTACCATTAATGAATTTTTGGGAATGTATTATGTTACTTGAGTTTATACAAGGGGTTCTAGTCTTATATTAAGGGACATGCGATTATAATGTAATGAATTGAATATTTTCCCCATCTCTTTTAATTCTTCTTGCTTTTCTTCTTCTTTTTTATAATTTTCATACTTCTCTAAATCTCTTCCTTTGTTTACACCATTTTTGGTATTAGAGCTAGCTTGCTTATCTTTTATCACGCATCGTTTTCTTCCTGAGATACTAGATCCACTTCATCAACTGTTCACAGTCCATCTTTGCATATTCCTTCATTAAATTCCCCAATATGATTAGCCACATATAGTGACAAACTTAACATGATCACCCTTACACCATATCGTTCGACCACAAACATGTGACTCTCTTGCACTTGGGCCGCCAACTCTTTTCTGTGGTTTGAACTCCTTGATTTATACATTAACCTCATGCAAACCATCATTCCTCAATCGAGCATTTGATTGTTTCCACCCCAATCCCCAATACTCTGTTGATTGACTTCCATAGGTTTGCTCACCCCACCACCTTATTCATTGCGTCTTTTGTCTGTCGCATGCTAGACGTTTCTCTTATACAAATAAATAATGATGTTTGTCATCACACTTTGCAACCTTTGAGCCTTCATATCGTGTCACGTCCATTTACATCTAGTACAACACATCTTCATTCTATCTACGCCCCAATGCTCGAACAAACTCTCTTCTCTTTATCCACCCTGTGCACGTTTTGTCACTGCAATCTATATAGCCACATAACCCATAACTACGATCTTCCTCTATACTCCTTCCTCCCACAACTATCCAATTGCCATTGCCTCCACATACACTATTTTTTATTGTGTGATCCCTCTACCTTAGTTTACACAAATTGCAATGGTGTCATTCTCCTCTATAGATGGTTGATTATTTAAGAGTAACCACAAAGGACTACCCTGGTGATTTTAGAGTTGATCTCAGTTAAGTCAATGTAACACTAGATCTCACCGATCCCTTTACTCGAGCATTTCCATATTTTGCACAATGCTACTTTATTATGACAAAATTTTGAAGGTGGAAGAAGAGAAAGCTGCTTTATATGCCAATAGTAAATTATTGAAGAACCAAGATTGATACAATGTGATTTTTAGTCATGATATGCTTGTATACATGCTCGTGTGCCTGCGCCCGCACACACACTCTTTAATCCCAAAATATAGTAATAACATTGAATACTAATGAAGAGTCGTTGACTCCTTTGTAAACATTAAAAGGATATGTTTCCATGTATATTATTACCCTTGAAAAGGAAATCGAAATGGCTATGAAATACTTTGTGATGGCCTAGAGGACTATAGGTGGTTCAGATCGGATGTCATAGGTCCCATATAAAGCACAAAATGGTTCTAGAGGGTAGAAAAGTGACGCACCTGCGAGTTTCATCCAATCACAATGATGATTATTTAGCAAGAAATGCAACAATGGCCAACGAACGGGTTTGTGAGGCAATGTGAAAGCACACGATAAATGAAGGCAATAGTCTCGAAAGAATGAGTTGTTTGCTATAGTATAGAGAAGTTGAGGCGATTTTTAGAGGAATCATGCTCAAGTATAGATGATAAAGGAATATTTGTACTGGTGCGACTTGAGATGAAGGAGATGAGAGGAACTTATAAGAAAAATATGATAATGTCATTTGTGAGGACAAGGACAAATGTGAACCAACCTTGCGAGAAATCAGGGGGAGAGAACTTTTGTGATTGAGTGAAGTGAATAATGTTAGTGTGGAATCAAGTGATTTCACCAATAAGCAAGAGCAATGGTGTGTATATTGCGTGCATAAATAGAGTATATTTACATACGAACAAAGGCAAGGATGAGGGGGTTGAGTCGATACATGAGTTGGTTTGCTCTAATACTACTTGGTGTAGATGTGGCAACAAAATTAGAAAAATAGAAGAGAAACAAATATTGAAAGAGGTGAACCGTGGGAAGAGGGAAGAATGAGAAAAAGAGATGTGAAAAGAGTAAGAGATAAATGGGAAAAATAAGAATTGATGGCTAGGTTTGAGAAACGAGGTTCATTCAATTATCAATTATCATGATGAACCCACCTTAGGTCATGATCTTCTTGTCTAAAGAGAATAACAACTTATTACCAAGACAACCTCAAGTCTTTGTCCCACTACATAACTTATTACCAAGAAATTCAAATAAACTTAGAAAAATCGCCAATATTAAATTATGGTATTTCCTAAAGTCAAGTTACTATAAAAGCATGAAAAATGATTAATCAGTCACGTGTTTTTGATCCAATTGTAAATCTTGATATGACAAACATGATCACATGTTTGGTTAAGTCACCACTAATCCTTTGATATATTTCAAAATTTCTTTTTATATAACTTGAGGAATATAAGCACTAATTATATTTTGAATATTCATATCATAAATTTATTTAATAGCAATTTTCC